CAGGAGCAGACACCATAGCTTGTTTGAGGGTTATAAAGGCTGACTGAGCTGAATCAGACCAAGCAAAGCTGTCTTTCTTTAGCAAATCTGTGAGAGGTTTCCCAATCACCCCATAGTTCTTAACAAATTTCCTGTAATAACCTGTGAGACCAAGGAATCCCCTTAACTCCTTCACATTCTTTGGCATTGCCATTTCACCATTGCTTCAATCTTAGCAGGGTCCGTGGTCACCCCTTCCTGGTTGATAATGTATCCCAAGTAGTCAATCTGAGTCTGTCCAAAAGCACACTTGGAAGGTTTAGCATAGAGAGTGTTCTCCCTTAGCACAGTAAGAGCTGTTGCCAGATGTTGCTTGTGACTCTCTTGATCAGGACTGTATATTAAAATGTCATCAAAGAATACCAAAATAAATTTCCTCAAGTAAGGACTGAAGATCTTGTTCATCAATGCCTTGAAGGTTGCAGGGGCATTGGTGAGGCCAAAAGGCATCACAGTGAACTCATATAAGCCTTGGTGTGTCCTGAAAGCAGTCTTGTGCTGATCCAATGGATTCATCCTGATCTGATGATAGCCAGATAATAGATCAAGCTTTGTAAAGAACTTAGATCCCCTGAGTTCATCCAATAAGTCATCAATGACAGGTATGGGAAACTTGTCTTTGATAGTGAGATCATTCAGCTTCCTGTAATCCACACAAAACCTCCAAGAGCCATCCTTCTTAAGTACTAGTAAGACTAGAGATGCATAAGGGATCCAGCTGGGTTGAATATATTGGGCTGCTAACATCACTTTCACCAGCCTATCCATTTCATTCTTTTGAGGAATAGAATACTTGTAAGGCCTGAGATTCACAGGCTGAGAGTTTGGTTGTAGGGGTATAGTGTGGTCACAGTCCCTTGTTGGTGGTAAGGTCTGAGGTTTGCCAAACACGTCACTGAACTCCTTCAAAACTGAATCCAGAAATGGAGGACCTGGTGTCTTGTCACTGGCTTGTACTGGCATCTCCTCCAATTTGGTCAGGGTTCCCAAGCTGCAAAGCTGGCCCATAAAAACAATTTCTGAACGATTCCACAACTTCTGTAGGCTCTTGCCTGATATCAACTTACACTGGGCCATGTCTTGAATGCCCTGCAACACCACTTCCTGTCCTTCCCAATCAAAGTAGAGTTTCAGGTCCACAAAATCAAACTTGACTGGACTAATGGTTCTAAGCAGTCAAGCCCTAAAACTGCATCATTGGATCCTAAACTCAGAATTCGCATGTCATACTGGAACTTTTTCCCTTGCATTTCCCAGTTGAAGTCCTTGCATACCCATTGACTGAGTAACAAAGTACCATCTGCAAGCTTAACACGCAAAGGATGACTGGCAGGCACGAGTTGGCAATTGAGTTCTTTTGCCTTCCTTTCACTGAGGAACGTGTGAGTACTGCCAGTGTCCAACAGAATGAAAATCTTATCCTTCCTCACCCTACCTTGCACAATGAATGAACTAGCCAATCCCCCACTATTGAGGGCCTGCATTGAGACTTCCTCCACTTCAGACTATTCCACATCAGTGCCAGGATCCAACCCTTCTTCCTCATACATCCCACTGCCTTCATCAACCATTTCTTCTTCACTACCCGCCTGAAGAACATTAAGCTGTTTCTTCGCACCACATACATGTCCAAAGAAGTAACGATCCCCACACTTGTAACACACACCTCTGGCACCATTGGGCTTCTGAGGAACTACAGGTTGTTTGACCAGCCCAGGTGGCTTGGAAGGAGGGCCTTCCCATCTTCGAGGAGGAGTGGAACTGCCGTTGGAGTTGATATTGGAGCGGCCAGACACCCCACGCCATTTCTTCTGTTGCGCCAGATTGGATTCCTCTTGTAACTGGGCCAGCTGAAAAGCATCAGCTAATGTCTGAGGCTTCCACATGTGCATCACTGGCCTCAACTCTTCCTCCAAACCACTAATAAAGCTGCTGATGAAATAGATTTCATCTAACGCTGGATTGAAACGCGCCATTAACGATCGCAATTCCTCAAATCTTTCTTGATACTCGGCCAAAGAACCACGCTGCCTGAGTTTGTTGAACTCAGCAACCACACCTCCATAGGAACGATTACCAAAACGCTGACACAAGGCAACCACAAACTCTTCCCAAATTAGTTCATGACGCCCGATCTTCCACCCTTCGAACCATAGATCTGCGCGTCTCTGGAAATAGATCACCGCCAAATTAACCTTCTGATCAGGAGGAATCGCGTAAATGTCGAATAGCTTCTCACACTTGCGCGTCCATTCACGCGGATCCTCGCCGTTGAAGGACGGGAAATCCAGACGAGGAAGCTGATGGTTGTTACCCGGGCCTTGAGCCTGAAAGTGTTCCCGCTCCATTGTACGAGGAAACTGAGCCTGAACCCTAGGCAATTGAACGGCGGCAGGATCTAGTCCCCTGATTCCTTGAGCAGGCAACGGAAGAATGCCGCGGCCGCCATTCCGGTCAATCAGCGGTGCTGCCGCACCAGCAATGGGAACCTGTGGCCGTGGATTCACGAACATCTGAAACATCTCACGCATTTCCGTAGTGAAATTGTCAAAACGCGCATCAAATCGGTCTTCGAGCTCTGTGAATCTCGTCGCCGTACCAGCCTCCATGGAATCCAGTCGAGCTGTGAGGTTGACGAATTGCTGCGAATGGCCATCAGAACGAGTCACCAGCTCCTGAAAACGAGTAGCCTGAGATGCGAGTTTGGCGTCCAAATCGAGCTGCGCCTGTGATTTCGATGCAACAAGACTAGCAAGGCGATCATCAATCGAACCACGAGTCGCCGTCATGACTAGAATGGAGCCAAGTCGAGGCTCTGATACCACCTTGTCACACCCTGGGCTTGGAGAGGACTTGGCGATGGAAGAATCTCGTCGGAAAAGAGCAGAAGAGAGGAGAAGATGAGAGAACAGAGGAGAGAGAGAGAGAGAGAGGGAAAGTAGGTTTGTTATTGATAAGGCAAAAAGTAGTTACAACGTCCTTGGCGCTCTCTTTTTATACAATCAGATACACAATTTCACTCCACTCCCTCAACTTCTATTTATTTCCAGTTTAGTCCGTGTGTTACATTGGCGTTAATCGAATAAGCCCGTAGTCATGCCATCGCCATCGCCATCCCTGCCGTCATCGACGCTCTCATTCGATTCCTCGAACGCACCCAATCCAGCACCACCAACAACCCCGCCGCCCCCTCTAAATCGCAACGATCGGCACCGTACGAGCTCGAATCAGCGGCGGATCTAGAACACAGAAGAGCACTGGGCCGAGTTTCATTAGAAAATTAAATAGTAAAAAAACATAATGATTATAGTTGTTTTCCAATGTAAATTGTACACGACGGTATCTTAATTTAGTGATGCATCAATAATGGAGCCGACATCCATACCAATAGTATACACTGTTTCAAATAAAATACTTGAGCAATCGGCAAGAAATTCATCGCTCATTTTGTTGAGCAAATCAGTTCTCACATATTTCATTGTTGAAAAGGTTCTCTTCGTAGTAGCTGTTGAAACGAGCAGCATTAACACTAGACAAATCAATCGACTAATCAATTGGCATTGTGTGTCAATCCCTGCATCCACCAACTTCTCTAGTAAGTTTTCAAGGGAACAAACCTCATATTTCTTTTAGTCTTTTACGTTTTAAACTTTTAGAATTTTAGGTTTCATTGTTTTTTTATATATGCATAATCTTTGGGGCTAAAATTTAAAGACTAAATTTAGAGTAGTGATTTGAATATGGTCATCTGAATCATTTTTCTAGTTATACCCAATTTTATTATAAAATCACACTAAGCCGAATGCCTAAAATCGCAAAATTCATAAGGACTATACTAACTACGGATCCAGAGGAAGGCTGGGCCGGGGCCCGGGGTGGCCACCCCCTGGATCCGCCACTGGCTCGAATTTGACCTCCCCTCCTACCCGCAGCCCTCCGTTCCTTTTGTCAAGAGATTGGAAAATCGCCACAGTCCCTCTTCGTCTGACCATGTACCCACGGGCGGAGCTGACGAAGAGATCGAGTTTCAGATCTGAGTTTCAAATATGAGTTTTCAGATACCACAACAGTCGGATTAAGAGACAAAGACTACTCATGATTGGGGAAGTATGGGTTGCCGCTTCCATTTTTCCTTCTTCCTAGAATCTCGAGTTGCCGCCGCTGTCGGAGGCTTCTCTAAGTTTCTGGTGGAGTGTTGAAGAAGACGAAGGAGGCGAACGGAACCGGATGGGGGATTTCTGTTTTTCGTTTCCCATTGTTATAATTATAATTTAATTATTTGTACCTTTAATAATGGCTAAATTACACGTTTGGTCACTCAAATTATACAAATCTTTCACGTTTGCCACCCGAATTACTTTTCTTTCTTATTCGCCACTAACTTTACGAATCGTTTCACGGTTGGTCACCGGCCGTTACACTCCGTTAAGTTTGTCTTACGTGGCAGTCAACTATAAAATTTGACCGTTAACTAAATGACGTGGAAATTAAAAAAAAAATCTTTCCACCTCATCATTGCACTTATTTTGTCTATATAATTTATCATATTAATTATTTAATAAATTACAAAAATGGGCAAATCCAAATGCTCATCATCCTCACCCTCACCATCCACTCCATCGTTCTTGGTGGCGTCCCTCCAATTGAATATTACATGAGTGTTGTAGGAGTAAGAAGAGTACTCCTTTTGACTACCCTTTCTAAAAAATGCAGCAGGCGAACGAGCCCAATTCTTATGCTTGAGCTTCAACGATAATGGGGAAGCGAAAGGCAACTTCCTTATATCCTCCGAACGAGCATAAGCATAGTCCTCCGTGGTGGCATCAGAATGGTTAACGGAATTCGCATCCCTGCTGCCTAGGGCTAACGACGGCGAAGGACAATTTCGAAGCAATGGTGTCATCAACATAAGCAACAAAAGCTGCTACATTTAGGGATTTGTGGTGGGAGGATTTTCGGTTTTAGAGGAAGACAGGGCGGTAGGGAACGGGATTGACATTGTGGGCATCAGAGGAGAGAGAGGATCTGTAGGAGCAGATCTGAACGCAGAGGAGTAAGGAGGGGGGAGAGGGGATTTCTTCAAGGAGGAGGAGGTTGCGGAGAACGCGAGAGAATTTTCTGATTTGGGTGAGCCCTCTTCTGCGATGGAGCCTGCTGGGATCAGCTACCCGGAGCTCCGCCATGGCAGTCAAAGGGCATGTCAACGCTAGTAAGAAGAGTGAATGTTGTGAATGATTGTTATCCTCCTAATCATGGAGGTAGCCTCATTTGTCATTCGAAGGTGGAAGATGAGATTCTGAATAGGGGAGTTCTACGAATCTGAGGGAGATGGTAATTTATTTATTTTTATTAAATAATTGATGTAATAAATGACAAAGTATATGCAATGATGAGGTGGAAAGGAAATTTTTTTTATTTTTTTTATTTCCACATCATCTAGTTAACGGTCAAACTTTATAGTTGACTGTCACGTAGGACAAACTTAACGGAGTGTAACTGCCGGTGACCAACCGTGAAACGATTCATAAAGTTAGTGGCGAATAAGAAAGAAAAGTAATTCGGGTGGAAAATGTAAAAGATTTGTATAATTTGAGTGACCAAACGTGTAATTTAGCCCTTTAATAATAGAGAATTTGATAACTGAATAAAATATAAAAAAATAGGCTGGCGTGTACATGTATCGCCACGTCACAGTCAACTAACTGTTGACCGGATGAAAAGTTAACGGTTTGGCTATTAAAATGTTTTTGAAAATGTTTGGCTATTATTTTGTTTAGTACAAAAAATTTGGCTATTAAATTGTATTTACCCTAATTATTTATATTTTTATGTTACGTTTAAGTCTATCAACCTATTTAATTTTATTGACAATCCTTAAATCTAAATGATACATAAAGAAAGAATATATAGGTGGAACATTAAGAGAAACATCACAATCATTTAAGAATATGAAATATAAAAATGTATCATTGATCCCATTTTCATAGTGATAATTAAAACCCGTTAAAATGCTATTAGTTAGTTGATTGTTTGATAACTATTAGTTAGTTGATTGTCAAGAAAGAATAGTATAAAAACTCACTGGAAATTCTACGCGACCTATAGAAATCAACCTAACAATCTTACATAAATGGTTAAATGCTCTCCTTTTAGAAAAATATGCCACCACAATCAAAAAGCAATGGAGAGTTGTTAATTCAAGTCAACTATATACTAACAACTCAGCTAAGAGTGGACCATCAAAACTTGAGAGCAAACAAAAAATTAGAGTTACCTCAAATATACTAATAGACTCGATCAAAGTAATAAGACACAAAATTAGACACTCCTTATCTATAAGTTCCAGTAGGTTGAATAAAGAATTTAGATCCTTCAATGATTCCTCATCTTATGATATAAATAGGTTGTGAATTGTGATAGCTACAAAAACCATAAAGCTACAGATCCAATAGCCACCACTCTTTGTCGTACAACCAAAATTTTATCCACTCTATCGTCAATTTCAAGAGGCATATGTTTCAACCAAAAATTCAATTTCTAATCCTCCTTGTGCAACTCCATTTATTGAACTCGATTCTATTCGCCATGGATTGATATCGAAGTTGAAATCTTCTACTTGCCCAGTTTAAATCCCCAACAATAAAATCATAGTGCCAAGAGATACCAGAAGATTGATTTTCAAAGAACCTTTGTACTGGGAAGTGAAAGGGGTGCAAACTATTGCACGATGTAGGAAATTTCGGAGGAAGGTAGAAAGAGATAAGAACAAAGATAAAAAGCACAAAATTTATATTTAAATTGAAAATACATACGATACACTTAGTGGGCTTGCTAATCATGATGGAAAAGTCCTCAGATTTTCATAGTTTAACTTCGTGTATGTTTTTTACTAAAAAAGATATAACAAATTTGTTTAGTGTAATTGGTTGTGATTGTAGTCTTTGTTAGAAGAGACCCGCGTCCAAATCTTGATATTTATATTTTTTATATGAAATAAATAATTAATTGTAAACACCAAATTGTCCTTCCTACTTTCACTCTCGTTGCAGAAAATTTGAAATGGAGAAAAGTACACAAAACTCTACCATATATTATTGGAGGACAACACCATGGCTAATCACTACTTTTTTTTGGTAGAAAGGTTAATCACTACTTTCACTCCAATACCCTTAAAAATATTTAAAATTGAATATTTTAAAAGATAACGAAAACATAAAATATTAAATAACACTAAAAACATGAACGATGTTGAAATACTGGTCTTAATAAACATCTCTCATAAAATTGTCAAGTCTCTCTGTAGTACCAAAGTTTGCATCTTTCTGCCAGAGTATTCTGGAGCCATTGATCATTGTCATCAATTGTTGAATTTTGAGCGTACTTTTAGAGCTTCTATGAATCTTGAGTGCGAGCGATGAGGTCAATCTTAATCATAATTCTGTTATTATACATAAATGCACAATCATGCATATTCAATGCTTATGATATGTTATTGGATACATTAATAAGAGTGATAAATTTTTCTTAACACGATTTTAGTCCTTAGTTTAGTACTTCTCGTATTAGATAACGACTAGTAAATGTAGCAAGGGCAAACCCTAGCTAAAATCGGTGTTATTCAACCCCTACCTAAATCATTGATAACATGGCTTAGAACCATTGGATAACTAGCTTTGACCATGTTTTGTTTTTCTAGGTGTCAGTAAGATGAAAAGCAAACCTAGTTTTAACAAAATTCACGCTCGACCCAACCCGCCAATTACAAAAGTGGGTAAAAGTCGCTCTCAACACAAATTTGTCAACATACCAAATCCAAACCACTTTGACTGGGTTGATTGTTTTGTTTTTGGGTGAGAGACGGATGAAAAGCTGGTCGATTTTGAACAAAATGCACACCTGATCCAACTAAACAATTACACAAGCGGGTAAAACTCACTCTATAACCAAAACTCATCAACACAAAGTTCAACCCACTTTGACCTAATCAAATGAGGTTAGATACCCTTAAGTTCGGGTTCAATTGTCAGAAAGATTAATAACATCATCCATATAATTAGAAGAGTGTGTTGATACAAGGGGTATGGTGAACCAAGATAATTTTTTAGGGGAGGACCCGAAGTTTGTGGTTGTCTTGATAGGTGGAATTTGAGATTTGCTTTTTTCTAGCAGATCAAATGAGATATGTGTTTGTTTGGCAGATCAAGTAGAGATCTGCACCTCTTTGGTGGATCAAGGAGATATGTATTTGGTAAATCCTTGCCCGAAGAGTATAAGAGAAAACTTGCAAATAATTAGACTAACTTAGCCATTGGTCTAGGAAAAAAACTCTTTTTTAATCTATTAATTTTGTGGTTGGTCTCCTTGTTATTTTATATTCCTTTTTGCCGATTTTATTTATTGGATATCAAAAGGTAAAACAACCATATTTTCCAAAACTTCCTCCAAAACACACTTTGTAATAAAGCAGAAAACTGTGTAAAACAGCTTGGAACCTTGAAAAGGGTTGAAACATTTATAGGTTTGAAAGAACATGGATTGACTTTAAACAAGGTGGTATTAAAAAGGAATTAGGTTAAGGCTCAACGGAGTTGACTAAACCATACTATGGTATGGTAGTAGTCTATTTGGTTGTGGGCTAAAAAACCTATGTCTTCATCTTCCTAATTAGTGGTGTCACAACTCGGTCTCATGCAAAGGTTAAGCTAAGTCATAATGCAAATAAAAAACTATCGCACATGAAAGCAACAAATATGAAAAAATCTCACATAGGTACATATATGCTCAGTTTCTCATGCAAATTACTCACACTCTATGCATAAACAACCGAGGATCGTGATTAACCAAACAAATTTCATGTAGTTTTGCCATCAAATGCAGACTGACACCCGACAGAATCTTACTGGAGCTCTCAGTCATCATAACTTGCTTTCATTCTCAATCATACTACACATGCATTGAAGTAAATGAGCCATAAAATTCAAAAAACAAGTTCATACCGTGCCCACTGTGATCATTAACAAGAAGTATATCATACTTGGAGCCCTCAAATTTAAAATGTTTTACAGTGGACTAGACTCCAAGAATTCATAATATCCATCACAACCATTCATCATTTAGAATTCAACAACCCCAAACTTAAGCACAAAATTCAAAAGAAAAAAGCACAATATACAAAATTGGCCCTAGGTGTCGTTACTCTTTATTGATGGTTATGCAAAATTGGTTATTGATCGGATCTACTCTCTAATAATATCTTAATATGTTTTGAGAAAAAACTTAGGACCTTCAGATTGCGCTACTACCACTGCCGGTACCACCCTTTCACCACCATCATACCACTCTTCTATACAATGAGAAATCACCAAACTTTAAATGAACTACAGTAACATACATAAACTATCTATATAATTAGAATGCATGATCATAAAGATCAATAGTAGATTTCTAATCACATTATTAGAAATATATCCATAAATGTTTTTATTTTGTTTTTTTTGGGTACAGTCATATGAAAAGTGGGCCGAGTTTTTAACAAAAAACCACACGGAGCCAACCACGAGTAAATTTCACTCCCGATCAAAAAATCCTAAACATCGGGTTCAACCAGATTTGACATGGTCGACTTAGGTTGGATACCCATGAGTTTGGGTTCAATAAACCCGCTATGATCAGGTTAAATTAGGTTGGATACTCATGGATTTGGCTTTAACTTTCAATCTCAACTAAAACTCAAATATGATCTAACTCACCAATTTCTATGACTGGTAAAACCTGCACTCGATCCTAAATTCGTCAATACGAATTTTACCCACTATGACCAGGTTGGATTGGATAACATGAGTTCGGATTCAACTGCTATTCCTATGTGAATTAAGACATAAAAGTAATTAAGGAAAAATTTGAAAAAATAAAAACAAAGAGCTAAACTCGCTCCCGCACCAAAACTGTCAACACCAGGTTCAACCGGGTTGAATTAGGTTAGATAGCTATGAGTTCGGATTCGATTGTCATTCTTATTCAAAAAAAGAATAAAATGAATTTAAAAGGGTAAATACTGTTTTTTAGCTAAATCTTTTCCTCATTTCAAAACATTATCCAAAAATTTCAAAATACAAAATATTAGCCATCCGTTAAATTTCCATCCAGCCTCAGTTAAGTGTGCTGACATGGATCCTAGGTGACA